GCGCTGGGTGTGTTTGTCGAGTTGTGTTGTACTGTGGTCAAGGACTGGGCTGAGCCCCTGCAGCTCTGGGGACAGGGGTCTGAGAAGTCCTAGCTGCCACCTGGTACGAGTGAGAGCAGAGCCGAGGAGTGGCTGCACGCTTGGCTCCTTCCTCCTCACGGGCCTGACCTCTTCAGCTCTCAAGCATTTTCACATCCTCATCTCATTTCACACATCTCAGACGGGGGACAGGCAGTCATGTCCTCATTTTACAAAGAGGGAAGTTGAGGCTCAGAGCTGGAACTGGCCTCTTAGGTCACAGGGCCGGTACGATGGTAGTGGGGTAGGGTGGGCAGGGATGGGTGAACTGGTCTGGTGGGGTAAAGGACTGTCCCTGATAAAGACCAGCACATCTGATACAGTCCTATTGGCATCAAATGATACAGTGTACGCTGGGAGAAAGGAAAAGAAAGAAGTGTGCTCTGCCCTCCTTGCCCTCAAAGCAAAGGTGACAAATGGCAGACACATTATAAAGTGTCACAGCAAAGACCATCTGAGCTGTTGTTGGGGGGCCCGGGCTCGGGGAGCCAGAGGGGTGCAGAAGTGTCTCGGCTCCGCTGGTGTTTCTCTGTGGCAGGTGGGTGGGACCTGGCCAGTGTCTCCTGGCAGAAGTCAAGCACCAACAAACACCTCTCCAGCTCCACTCCGGCGCACAGCTGCTCCGAGGCCTTTCAGGACCCCCTCCAGCTCCTCCTCCACACCTGGGCCCCTAGCCCACCTGAGCTCCCGCAGACCTCCCCTGCCCCGGGCCTGCCCTCTGCCTGGGGCTCCTCCTGCGCCTGCCTCCCCCCAGCCCTCAGCCCCTCCCCACCCTCTGATGTGCTTGGCTGAGCTGGGCGGGGAAGGGCAGCTTCCTAGTTAACTCTGTTGGGCCCCAGGTGGAAAGCTCTAGGGCCTGCATGCTCCCCGTCCCTCGTTCCTGCTTCTCCAACTGCCAGTTGGCTGTGTCCCAGGATAACAAGGGCAGGAAGTTGGTGTGTGTGGGGGGGCTGGCCATCTGGCCAACTCACTTCTGTACTCAGATGGCTTGCTGATGGGCTGGGCCACCTGGAGTGTCCGCCCCATCTTGGGCAAGCCCCCAGCCTCCTCTGGGCCTCAGTTTACCTATCTGTGCAAAGATAATGAGAGTCCCTGCCCTGCTTATTGACAGGGAGGCTGTGATGAGGTCATAGCAGGAAAGCACTTATTGTCCATCTCAAAGGCTGCTTATCTCTGCTGTTCGGCCAGCCACAGGCCTGGGTGCGTGCTGTTCCTCAGAGCCTTGTAAGGAAACCCCCAGGGAGGTGTGGTCCAGGCAGAAACCATCTCTGTTTGTGTTGGTGACTGTGCCTGTGGGGGGAAGGGGTGGGGAAGAGTGGGGGAGGGCGTCTGGGGACCAGGAGAAGGCCTCCTGCATTCTTGAGCGCCTTGAGCGTTAACTGAGCACCTACAGAGTGTAACCCCTGTGCCGAGCTCTGAGGCTGAATAAGGAACCCGCAGCCTCGTAGTGGAGACAGACGTGTTTACAGCCGACCACGATACAAGACCTCCACTTCCCCATCTCTCTAGGTTGTCCCAGCCTGCCCTGCGGTTCACCAGGCAGTCAACACACCTGTCTCAAATGCCTGCCGTGAGCTGAGGCTTTGACCCAAACCACACACGCTTGGTGGTTCTCCCACAGGAAGCTCGAGGACCACACACGAGGATTGGGCACGCAGCCGCCCCAGGGGGTCAGGGGCAGTGCTGGACAATGCTGGGGGCTCAAGGACGAGTTGGAGTCTGGCCCCTGAGGCGTGCCCCTCACATGGTGGGGGAGAGAGACACGCAGGGGTCATGTGGAGGGTGAGGGGTCCCCTTGATCTGGCTGGGATGAGCCCCCGCCACTGTCTGCCCCCTACAGTGACCCCTTCCTCTAGGTTCCCTCAGCCCCCTGCCCCAAATGGGCCCTTCCTGATCCTCGACCCCCTGCCCTACTTCCACCTCCATCCTGTTCCCAGGGGCACCTTTCCAAGGTGTGTGGACACCTCAGCCTGGCACCCAGCGCCCAGCCCAGGGCTTGGTGGTGGTTGAAGCAGAGGTTTCCGGACTTTCCCTAGGCCCACCCCCCCACTCCCCGGCGTCTGGTCAGACTGGATTCCTTGAGGTTTCCAGAACCAGTGGCATTTCCCCAGCCGTGCCTTTGCTCTTGCTGCTCCCTCTCCCAGAAGGTCCTCCTTCACCCAGTCCTGCTGCCTTGCACAACTCCGGGGCCACCCATTCATGGTGATTTCTGTCGTCACTGCCCTCTGCAGCATGACCCAAGAATACGGCACCCCCTGGAGTTGTGCTGTGCAGTCCCCCTTCCCTGGCAAGTCCCCTCCCCAGCACCCCACCCCCACCCTGTCTGAGTTCTCCCTCTCTTCAAAGTCTCACGGGACTTTGCACCCATCCTGGCTTTATTGGACAACTGTTTTGTGTGTCTTCACAGAGTAAACACCCATTTGCTGGGCTGATGTCCCAGGGTCGGGCCCATGGCTGGCTCATGGTGACCTCCCCCACTCAGTTCCAGCCAAACAGGCTTAGAACTGGCAGAAACTTCCATGGTCGGGGGAGGGTAGGCTTCCTTCTCTCTGGCCTCAAAGGCATTGCCTCCAAGGCCCCTTCCTCCGGCAGCGCTGGGAAGCTGGGTGGTGGTGGTGAGAGATGGGGAGGGTGGGTGATGGACCCAGGAATCCTGGCCCCTCAGCTTCTCGTTCCCCAAAACTGGACTTCCTCAGGCCAACGCCAAGACTGCTGGTGAGGCAAAGGTATGAATGATGAGAACCACAATAGTAGTGATGAGGCCCCTGCTGAAGGAGGTAGGACATGACTACAGTAATCAAGGTGGGGCTGCTCTTCCACCTTCCCAGGACTTCATCCTCAGACCCTTTCCCTGAGGGTCCCCACCCCTGCCCACCCACTCAAGCCTGGAATGAGGGAGCCCTGGGGCGTGGCTGGGCCTGGCTGCCCTCCCCCCCATTCCTCGCCCCCAGGTGCTGGTGGCTGTGACTCAGTGTCTTGTCTCCAGGTTGACCTCAGCATGGGCCTGGGGGCACCGGGAAAGGGCAGTTTCCTCTGAGACTGGCTCTCGGGGTGGTGACTCAGGGGCCCAGGGCTGGGGCCTTAAATTGTCTTTGTTGGCTCAGGCTCAGGAATCCAGAGAAACTGGTCAGGGGGAGGCCCCAGAGCCTGAAACCCCTCCCTCTGCCCCCGCCCCTCAGCAGAGCCTATAACTGCTCCAATCTTCAGTTTGAGAGCGCCAGTAGCTGTGGGCGGCGGAAGGAACTGGTCTGATCACGCTTGCTGGGCTTGTGCTTCTGCTTCTCAGGAAAGACACTTGGCGGCTTCTGACTCTCGGGACAGGCACTTGGGGGCTGCTCCGACTGGCTTTGCCTCTGGACTCGCCCTGAGAGGGCTCCCTGTGGACACTGAGTGTCCGTCCTCAGCACTTGGACTCTTACAGCCCCCAGAGCCGGATCCCCACAGCCTCCAGGTCCGAGGCCCCTGCAGACGCTGAGCGATGGCTTCTATGGGGCTGCAGGTGATGGGCATCGCCCTGGCCGTGCTGGGCTGGCTGGGCGCCATACTGAGCTGCGCGCTGCCCATGTGGCGCGTATCGGCCTTCATCGGCAGCAACATCGTGACGGCGCAGACCATCTGGGAGGGCCTGTGGATGTCCTGCGTGGTGCAGAGCACGGGCCAGATGCAGTGCAAGGTGTACGACTCGCTGCTGGCGCTGCCGCAGGACCTGCAGGCCGCCCGCGCCCTCATGGTCATCTGCATTATCCTGGCCGTGCTGGGCGTGTTGCTGGCCGTGGTGGGCGGCAAGTGCACCAACTGTGTGGAGGACGAGAGCTCCAAGGCCAAGATCATGATTGTGGCGGGCGTGGTGTTCCTGCTGGCTGGCCTGCTGTCCATAGTGCCCGTGTCCTGGACGGCCCACAATGTCATCCGTGACTTCTACAACCCACTGGTGGCCTCTGGCCAGAAGCGCGAGATGGGCGCCTCACTCTACGTCGGCTGGGCCGCCTCCGGCCTGCTGATTCTCGGCGGGGCCCTACTCTGCTGCAATTGCCCGCCCAGAACAGACAAGCCCTACTCGGCCAAGTACTCAGCCGCCCGCTCCGGCCCAGCCAGCAACTACGTGTAAGGCGCCCCGGCTCAACTCTCCCTGTCGGCTTTGTTTCTCCCTGGACTGAGCTCAGGGCAGCCTGTGACCCCAGGATGGCCCTGCCACGGGCTGCAGGCTGCCAGGGGCTGAGTGAGCGTGGACAGAGCCGTTGGTCGGCAGCTCTCAGCCCCTGCTGGCCCTCTCGGACGCATACCCATGGCCTCCTCTACACCAGCAAGGATGGATGGAGAGAGACTCCAGTGCCACCCACCTCTGAATGGTCTGTGGATACAAGAGAGGGGACGGGAGCATCAGGGTGTGGCAGTGGAGGAGGGAGCTGGCTCCTGCTGGCCAGGACAGCTCAGCTGCCTTTGCTTGGGCTCTGCGTCTGAGTGGGTACCCTGCCCATGACCATGTTGGCCACTGTCCCCTTCTTTGATCTTCCCCACTCCCTCTGCCTGCATCCTCTGGGTGGGTCAGCAAGCGCTTGGGCTGTAAGGCCCCCTGGAAACCTGTGGTCGTGAGAATGGCTGCGGCTTGCTTACCCACCTGCTGGTGGGGCACAGAGGAGTTGACGGACAAGTTTAGAGGGGAGGGGTGCTACAAACTGGTTTGGGTAGTGGTGGGGGAGGGGACCACAGGCTGCCCGTACCCTCCGGCTCCTGCCCCGCAGCCTCTGCAGAACCCTCCACCCGCCCCATGCCCCTGGAGACTGGCCAGCTGTGGATCTGCCGCCACTGGATTCGCCACCCCTGCCAATGTCATCGGCCGGCCTGGGGAGGACAGGGGGAACGGTCTTTCTCTGGCCCTCACCCTAGGAAGTCCTGGGGGCTTTTCCCTCCCATCTATGTGGTTTCTGTTTTGTAATTTAAGATCTATTCATCACGGTAATTGCTATTATTTTCTACAATAAATGGGACCTGTGCACAGGAAGACTCTGTATCGTTTCTGATTTCAGCTGTGGAGTTAGGCGGAGCCGGGCTGGAGGCCTGGGCAGGGGGTCAGTGAGGGGAGGACCACTGGTTGTGGCCAGGATGGCAACACTTGAAAAACCGGTTTTGGGGAGTTGAGAAAAATTAGAACCGGCTTGACCTTTGGAATCACCTTGTTCAAGGCCTTCACTTGCTGGAGGGCAAACCCCGTACACAGGAGACACGGTGTGCACCCAGGAGCCTGGGGAAGTGTTGGGGACCCCAGGAGGGAGACCCAGCCCTGGGGAATGGGCCACCTGCCCTCTCTGTCGTTGTCCAGATTTGTCTGGGCAACCAGGCTGGTCTGCTCACCCTCCAGGTCCCACGGCCTGGCATTTGCTCAGGCTGTCCCTGCCCTCAGCCTGAAATGCCCTTTTTTCTTTCTCCACCCCTCTGAATCCTGCTTGTCCTGTAGTTCTAGCTCAGAGCTGCCTCCCCCAGGAAGCCTTCCCACGGCCCCTGTTCATGCTGACAGTCACCAAAGCCCTTCTACCTGCCCAGCTCACGGCAGTCTCCAAGCCTCACCCTGAGCTCGGGGTTCTGATCCCTTTGGGGACAAGGAGACCGGGTCCCGGACATGTGAAAGTGCTTGGCCGAGGCCCAGATACCTGGGTTCCTGGTCCGTGAGTCAGAGGTGAGAGGGCCCGGGACTCTCGGAGGAGTCATAAAGTCACATCTGTGGCCCTAGCATGCCTGGCTTAGGGACGGGCCAGGGTGGGGGCCCCCTCTGTCCTGTCTCTTCTCATTCTGTCCTTCTTGGAGACAGAGGTCACTCTTTCCTGGGGCAAGAGATCCACAGAGCCAGAGTCCTGCCTTCCCTCCTGGGTCTCATTTAATAGGCTGCGCTCTCCTGAAGGCCGGGATTGGTGCCGTGGCCCACTTTACAGATGAAGCAGAGGAGGCCTGAGCATGGACCGGCTGAGGCCACACAGAGAGTCAGAGGCCAGCCGGGGACTGGGGACTGGGCCTCCCTCCCTCAACCTGGGCTGCCTTCTGCTTTCGGTACAGGTAGATGATGCCAGAGATGAAACCATCACTGTTGGAAGTGCCAGGCACCAGCTCGAGCTCTGAGGTGGCCAGTTCCCACTGGTCCACAGGCCAGGCCACCACGCGTTCCCAGGCCCCGGCCTGCTCCAGCCGGTCCAGGGTGGCCTCCAGTGCCTCCTTGTATCGCAGATTGGATGGGTTGGTCCTGGTGGTCAGACACACCAGCCCACCTGGGGAGGGGTGGGGAGGGACAGGTGAGTGGGGGTGGGGCAGGAGCCACGGTTCCAGGCACTCTGCCCTCCCTCCCCCCAAGGGTGTCTTCAAGGGTGTCAGTTCTCCCAGCTTGGTCCCATCTCCACGGCTTTGGTGCTTTTGGCCCTCCCCCAGGGACACCTTTCTGCTTCCTCAGCTTGACAGCCTCCTATACATGCTTCAAGGCCCAGGTGTCCTTTATGCTGGGAATTCTTGGCTTAATCCACTGGACAGAGGGGGCTCCCTCCTCAGCGCTCACCAGGCCCTCAGCTGGAGGATGTGGCTGTGTCTGGATGCCCAGGAAGGAAGCACATGGCAAATCCCTTCACCTCTCTGAGCCTCAGTTTCCCAGCCTGCAGAGCAGGGATGACCGCCCTGTCTCACAGGAAGGCCGGCAAAGCCTTAAGCGCTGGCTGAGTGAATGAATGACCCCGTCCCTTCAGGTATTCAGGCACCTATGGGATGCCCAGTGTGGGCTCAGATACACTCAGGAAAGACCGGTGCCTGGAAGGCTTCCTGGAGGAAGGGGTGAGGAGAAGAAGGGCCCTGATGGTGGGGGGCACTCCATGAGAGGAAAAGCTCCAAAGTAGGGGAGTCCGTGATGTGTGGGCAGGCAGACAGGGCTCCATCCAGCTGAGGGATCTGACAGGCACAGGCTGGGCTAGGAGGCCCGGTCCTTACTGGTTCCGGCGAAGGGAGATTTCTATCCCCCGGAGCCAATCACTGCCTCTCTCTCTGACCCCACCAATGTCCCTGTGTCTGTCAGCTCCTGTGACCCCCCCCGAGGCTGAAGCCTGCCCAGACCTGCCCGGGCTGGGCCACAGCCCCTGCTGGGCCCAGGGCGGGTGAGGAAGGCAGGGAGAAGAGAAGATGTGATCTTGCTGCTTTGGGGCAAATTCAGGGCTTTCTGCTCCTGTCCTGCCTCAAGTCAGTGCCTCATGATCCCCATGCTCTGCCACTCTCCTTTATGCCCATGACTTTGCTCCCCACCTGCCCTCACTCCCCATCCCAGCCCTTGGAAATGCCTCCCTTCTCTGACTTCTCAGAGCACTGAGCACTCATGGCCCTTGTGGGCCCACCCCGGCCCCCCCCCCCCCCCCCGCCCCGGGGCCCCCCCTGCTGGGACGTGGTGGCTTGGGGATGGAGGCCCAGAGAGCAGGGTGTGTCCCTCCTCCGCAGGGCTGAGGCAAGCACAGGGCAGGGACACAGCAGGAGGAGAGTAACACAATCCTCACCTGCACATCAGCCCCAGGGTGGAGAGTTCACCAAACGTGCTCACCTGAGCAGCCCCATCTCACAGATGAGGAAACTGAGACCCCAAAAGAGAAACGGGTTCACCTGATGGCCATCCATGAGTTAGTGAGGAAGCTGGAGGATGAGGGAACTGAACTGAGCTCCTGCTGTCTACCAGGGCTGAAGCAAGGCCTCAGAGACGTCATTTTACCCAATTCTCACCATGAGCCTATGGGGAAAGGCCTAAGCCATTCTGCTTATAGGTAAGGAAACAAAGGCTGGATTGGAGGGTGAAGCCACCCGAAGGTGGCAAGCTGGCTACCTTTCTGCCCTGCCTATTTGCCTGGCTCTGTTGATGGTGGCAACTGAGGCAGGGCCCTGGGCTGGCAGCTGGTGGCTGGGATGCTAGCTTAGGCTGTATGACCCTGGGCAGGACCCTGCCCCTTGCCTGGCCTGAGGGGCCCTGAGGCTTGTGTCTCTGGGTGCGGAGAGGGGAAGGGGTGCATGTGTGGGGTTCGATGGGCTGCTTCTCACCTGGCTTGGTAACTCGCAGGAGCTCAGGTATCGCACTGCAGGGCACCTGGCCGTCACTGAGGGCACCCACCATCAGCACTGCGTCGAAGGTCCCTGTGTGGGGCGTGCGGATGTGGTGTGGTGGCGTGTCTCAGATTACTCTGGAGGATGGTACCCACAGAGGGGCCTGGGCAGGGACCAGCTCTGCCACTAGTGTCTACAGGACCCAGATCCCCCGCGAGATATGGCAGGTAAGGCCCAGTCCTGGGCTGAGGTCAGATCCTGGGATAGAGGGCTCAGAGAGGGTCTCAGAGGCACTGGGGAGCTCAGACGGGGAACGGGGGCTCAGTGTGGGAGGGAGCTTGTGGAGGGCTCAGCAAGCAGGATGGAGGCTTGGCAAGGGAAAGGGGCTCTGTCAGATGGGCTTGGTCAGAGGGTGGGCCTTGGGGTGTCAGGGTGGGAAGACAAGTACCTTCAGAGCTGGGCAGAGGCTCCTGACCCAGGGTGCAGAGGCTGAGGTGCTGGTAGAGGCCACGGGCCCGGGCCTGCTCCAGCATCGCTGGGCTCCCATCCACCCCATGCAACTGGAGGAAGCCCCGAGCCTGCAGCTGGGGTGGGAGCACTGTTACAGTTCACCCCCACAACCTCCCAGCTGGGTCCCTGCACCTGGCGGAGGGCAGTGGACCCCACAGGGGATGTAGCCCAAGTGTTTGGAACCAGTGAGTCTGAGGGGGGAGGCAGAGTTCTGGGGGCAAGGGTTGCGGGAAATGTGAGCAAGCGGGGGGCTGAAGAGAGGGCAGGGGATTCACGATGGCCTCACCTCTGCAGCCACCAGGCCAGTGCCACAGGCTACATCCAGGATCAGGGCAGCATTGGGCGGGCCCGGAAGGGCTTGCATGAGGCAGTCCACTGCGAGGCGGGGGGCACGGTACTGCAGGGCGGCCACATCCTGGGGACAGAGTGCTGAGCCAACTGCCACCAGGGGCCCATGTTTGGGGGACATTTGTGTGGGTGGTCTCAGAGTCAGCCAGACCAAGCTGTGTTTGTGTGCTTGGGGCCCAGGCTTTGCTGAGACTACGGGAGAGGAGACCCAGGCATGAGGTGCTTTCCTCTGCCAAGGTGCCAGGACTGGATAGTCAGCCCCCAGCTACTGCTGGGGCTTTTTCTGCTCCACAAGGCAACTAAGTTCAGAAAGAGCACTCAATGGCACCTCATCCAGGCAGCCCCTGTGCCTGGGCTGCAGTCCCAGGTGGGGAGGTCTTGGCTCCTGATCTCCAGCGGCTGCCAATCTGGAGAGATGGGGACGGCCAGAGAGTAGGGCCACTGTGGGTGGGCAGAAGAGGGGCCATTCCGCGGGGACAGGACTGCAGGGTGAGTCTCACTTCATTCTCACAAGCCACCCTGGGATGCAAGGCTGACTATTCCCGCTTCGTAGATAGGAGACGAGGCGGGATGAGGGGAGGGGGGTGCAGGTGAGGACCTGGCCCGGTTTACCTGGTCATAGTCCAGAGCCCAGCGGTCATAGAAGAGGAGCTTCTGGGCCAGGTCGGTGATGCCGTGCAAGGCCCCGACCCGCGCACGCGCCTCGCTGAGGCTTCCGCCCTCCTCCTGGGCCATCCTCCTGTGGGGACACGGCCTCCGTGTCCTGAGGCCCACCTCAATCCCCACCCGCCACCCCATCATGCACAGCAGAGGAGGCTGTCAGGACGCGGCCTCTCCCGGCCACCGGCGCAATCCCATTTCACAGGAGGGAACACTGAGCACAGGGAGGGTGAGACTGGACACGTGCGGTTCAGGGCTGGGGGTAGCGGTGTCCCCTGCGGGGGAGGCAGGACCTGCCCCCACCTACCCGCCCCCGGCCGCGGTGAGCGGGCTTCCAGGGCAGAAGGGTCTCTAACCGGGTAGGGGTCAGAACTCACCAGCTGGGTGGGCGCAGGAACTCTCAGCGGGGCCTGTGCGGCGAGCCTGGCCCCGCCCCCGCCGCCCTCCAGGATTGGCTTTCCGCGAGAGAAAGTACCCAATCAGAGGAAAGCACTGGCAGCCGCCCTCCACCACCAGCCAATGAGCTCAAAGTTCTAGGCCCTCCTCCTGCCCCAGAAGATCGCCCACTTTTCCGACATGGTTTCACTGTCTGCAGGTTTAGGAGCATGTCTGCCTCCTCCCGGCTCCCGGCGTCCTTCATGCTTCCTAAAAGCGAGGGCTCTGAGGCACTGCGAGCGTCAGAGTTCCTACGGGGCAAGAGAGGGACCTAGAATCAGCCTTCACTTTTAGAACACTCATCAAGACCTAGGCAACGCTGTCCAGTAGAACTTTCTGCCGTCCCGGCTGCTGAGCACTTGGAATGTGGCGAGTGCTACTGAGGAATTGCGTTTTAAATTTATTTTGTTTTAATCGCTTAACCATCCGTGGCTCGTGGCCTCCTGGCAGCACCTGCGTCCGCGTCGTTTGCTTGGGTTGCTCCAGGGGAAGCCCTTAGAGGAGCTTGTTAGAAATGCAAATTCTTGAGCCCCACCCCAGACCTAGTGAATCAGAATTAGATTGCTGGGGGGTGCGGTGGGAGTGGGGCCCAGAAATCTGCACTTTAACTGACTCTCCAGGTGGTTTGTATGCAGCTCAAGTTTCAGAAGCACTAGCCTAGAGAAGCCTTGTAGGGAATCAGTTAGGGCAGGCAGAGCTTCAGAGGCTGTTGACGTCCAGGCAGGAGGTGATGGTAGCTTGAACTTGGGTGGAGGTCATGGCTGCGCATGGGAGTGGATGAAGTTCTGAGAGGTTTAGGCAGTAGAAGCAGCGGGGCTCGATGACTGAGCCCGTGGCAGGGGGAAGCAAGATGTCAGGAGCCGTGCCAGGTTTCTGCTTGAGTCGTTGGGTTGATGGTGGTGCCATTCACAGCAGGGGAAGTCCAGGAGGAGGAGCAGGTTTGGGGCGAAGAGGATATCACAGTGGGGATGTTGAGTTTGAGATAGCTACGTGAGGATGTCCAGGAGTCTTGTGCTCAGGAGGGGGATCAGGCTGGAGACAGATTGGGGGTCATGAGTATAAGCGACAGTAATCGAGGCAGCTGGTAAAGTGAGATTGTGCAGGGAGAGAAGAGGAAGACAAGAAAGCTCAGGGTGGGAGAGGAGCGTCTAGGAGTGTTGGAGAAAACCCAGAGAAAGTTAGTAAGGATGCCAAAAACAGTGTTTCAAAAAGATGGGGGATGGCCGACATTGCCCAATGTTGCTGAGAGCTGGTGTAAAGTGAGGCTTAAGAAGTGAGCACTGGATATAGGGACGTGGAGGTCCTTGGTGGCCAAGGTAGACCCTGCCAGGGTACACCACTTGCCAAGTTGGCCTCTTCTTCTGAAGTTGGACTACAAGTCCCAGCCTCCCTTGCATGTGGGTGTGGCCACGTGGCTGAATTCTGGCCAGTAGAATGTGGGTGGGGGTAAAGTGCTCCATTTCCAGATCTGGACCATAAACACTTCTTATATGATCCTCTATGGAGTGGGCTCCAAGCCCCCAGAGAGTGGAGCTACAAGACGAAGGAATCTGGGACCTGAAATGATTGTGTGGAGCAGTGCCTGCCCCACCAACCTGCACTGGACTTTAACAAGAACAGAAATAAACTTGCGTTGTGTTGAGCCACTGAGATTTCAGGGTTTGTTATAATAGCTATTATCATTTCCCTCGCTTAATACAGTGACCCTGGCAAGAGCAGTTTTTGGGGAGTGGAGATAGTAGAGGAAACCCAGATTTCAGCTGTTACCAGCCAAGATCCAAAACCAAATCTGTCTTAGTCCAAAGGTGTATGGGGAACGTGTTTTAAACCTGTTGTGTTCAGGGGCAAATAACAGAACACCTGCATAGCAGTGGCTTCAGCAGAGGGAGATTTTGTTGTTAGTGCTGTCTAGTGGATTCCAACTCTTAGCGCCCCTGTGTCTGGCAGAGCGGAACCCTGCCCGGTCTTTTTGTGCTATCCTCTCGCCTTCCAGCACTGTGTCAGACAAGGCTCTGCTGCTATTCATAGGGTTTTCGCGGCCATTTTTTTGGAAGTGGTGGCCAGGTCCTTCTGCCTCGTCTGTCTTAGTCTGGAAGCTCAGCTGAAGCCTGTCCACCATGAATCACCCTGCTGGTGTTTGAAATCCTGGTGGCATAGCTTTCAGCACCACAGCAACACGCAGCTGCCACAGTGTGACACCCGACAGGCGGGGAGGAGATTTACAGGTCTAATAAAGGAAGCTGAGACTGCGCCGTGTGGGCTGGGGCTCAGTTATGCCACCAGGGACCCAGGCTCTTGTCATCTTCCCTCTTGGCCACCTTCTGCATGGAGGCCTTTGTCCTCATGTCTGTCACATCCTCATGGCTGCTACACCTCCTGAGAGGGTGAAGGGGAAATGGCAAAAAGCTAGGCCCGCTGAGTCTATTCCTTCACAAAACCTTTGTTGGAAGCCCCACTCCGTGACTTCTGCTTCATTCTATTGGCCAGACTGGGTCGCATGCTCACCCCTGAGTCATCAGTGGAAGGTGAGTGGGGCGGGGGAGGCTGGGCACGGAGGGAGACAGTGTTGGCCCCATCTCTTCAGCCTCATATTCTGTTCAGGCCAATAAATATTTTTTGTGCACCTACTATTTACCTGGCCCTGGGCGGGGCACTGGAGTCACAGAGATGAGTCAGAAATAGCCGCCCCCCGACTGGTGGGGGCAGTGGGGGAGGGGTGTCTTTTGTTCACGCTCCGATCACTGCCTCCTCAGTACCCTTGTACGGGGCTTTTCTAGCTACCCCCCGCCACCCCAGATCCCTTGTTTGTCTAGGGTGGGGGTAGTGGGTGGGCACTATGATGTTGTCAACTTGTGAAAACAGAAACCAGTTTAAGAGGCACAGTGTTGATTTGGGATCACAGAACTGCAGTTCCGGAGCCTAGACTCAGGTAGAAACCAAAACAGTGTCCGCCAGGGAGTAAAAGTCAGGCTTTTAAAGGCCAAGGAGGGAGGTTGTTGTACAAAGAATGTCAGTTGGAGTTGGAGGCAGAGAGCCGGTCTTGGCTAAACATTGATCGACTATCGATTCTGTCTTCAGATAGTCTGCAATCCTCAGCCTTTGTGATAGGGGAGTCCGTTCTCCCGCTGACTTCTCAAACAATTACTTGTAAAACAATTGCTGTTTTGGCCCCGTCCAAAGGTTTGGCCCAGTCCAAGGTTCAAGACAGCAGAGCAGTTTCTCTGGAAGGGCAGCTCCGACTCTGTTTTAAAATGGCCCCACTATATTTAATTTTGGCAATGTTGGGACATGTGATTATGGGGAGTGATCCTTCCACTAAGATGGATGGCCCCAGTAAAGGCAGTCCGGTTGGACCATCAGAAGGTGGCTTGGGGGGCTCCAGGAGAGGCCCTGGGGAGGTCCCGGGGGCCCTCACAGCCCCTCAGTGGTGACTGACCAGGAGGTGCACAGTGTGTGGGCACCAACGTGGCTCCATGGCGATGGCTCCTGGGCCTTGAAGGAGGACAAGACTTGCCATGGGGGACACCGTGGGGGCTGGTGGTCTCTGGAGGTTTCTCTGCTCCTCCCAGGCTCCAACCCAGGCCCCACTGACTTCTCTACCCAGAGCCCACTCCATTCCCACTGCTCGGAGCCCAGGAACCTGCTCTGGTCTTGTGGCGGGAGGCCTTTCTCTGACTCATCGTGTTTTTTTGTTTCTTCTAATCCTTCAGTTCTTTCAAATCCTAAGCTTTTGGAACCCGAAAGCCTTTTCTGTGTCTTTTGCTGAAAATGACCCTCCCCTGGGGCAGTGGACACCACCCAGTCCAGCTGCTGCCAAAGTAGGGGGACGGGTTGGGTAACAGGAAATAGTTTGGGGGTGACGAGGGGCATTAAAGGCAGAAGTTCGTGTTTCAAAACGAATGTCCACTCTCGCAGGTGTACAAGCCAAAGACCAAGGGCAGCGGGTGGCCGAGAAGGAGAGGCAAGAGTCATCCCGCGGCCAGAGAAAATGGCCGAGGGGAGGGCACGCCAGGCCAAGACTTGGTGATGCCAATGGGCATGAATTCTGGGGGAAGGCGTGACTTTCGGGGGGCCAGGCGTGTGAGGGGGGTGTGCACGTGTGTGAGGATGTGGGGGTTCTTGGGATGCTTCCAAAAGCAGGTGTCAGAAACCCAGCCCGGGGTGGTTTACAGAGTAGGGGTTTGCTCTTTCTTCTTCTTCTTTTTTCCTGCTTTTTCTCCCCAAATCCCCCCAGTACATAGTTGTATATTTTAGTCGTGGGTCCTTCTAGTCGTGGCATGTAGGACGTTGCCTCAGCATGGCTTGATGAGCAGTGCTAGGTCCACGCCCAGGATCCTAACTGGCGAAACCCTGGGCCACCGAAGCGGAGCGCACGAACTTAACCACTCGGCCACAGGGCCAGCCCCTGCTCTTTCTTCTTGCAAGAAGCCTACTGGCCCAGCAGCCCCCTGATTTTGCCAAGGACCCTGGCTCCATTCTCTAGTTTGCCACGCTGTGCGTTTGCTCTGTGAGCTCCTTGCAGTCACAAGATGGTGGCAGCACCTCAGGCGTTTGTGTGTCCGCGCATACCAGGCCCCAAGGCAGGCTGGAGACGGGCCTTGTCTCCTGGCCTCTCTCTCTGCTTTGCGGACGGAGGATATTCTTCCAGAAGCCCTTTGGCCGGGAAAGCCTGGCACTTCCAGGCTGGGGTGTGGGAAGTCAGTGTGGCCTCTGGGAGGGCGGGGGAGGGGAATGGCTGCTGGTGCAAGCTACAGTGCCTGCTCCTCTGTGTGTGCACACACCTGTGTGTCTGTGTCCAATGGGCACGAGCGTCCGCAGGCCTGGCGGCTGGTGTGGGCAGCACCCAGGCCACTGGGAGTGAGGTCACCAGGCTGTGAGCCTGGTTTCCAACCCTGAAGGAGCCGCGTGGAGCTCCAGCCTCAGATCTGCCTTTTGCAAAGATGGCTCCAGAAGGCAGCGTGGAGAGTGGATGGGCACCTGCGGGTTCTGAGGCTGTTGCAATTGTTCAGGTGAGAGCTGGAGCCCGAGCAGCTGGGGCTGCCACGAGGGGCTGCCTGGGGGTTGATGGGTTGTGAGGTTTGGGGGACAAGGGAGCAACTTCTCTTCCTTCTGGTTTCTTCCCAACCCAGCAGCTGCTCCTTCTGAGCTCCTCACTGCCTCCTCCTCCTCTCCTTCCCCTGTAAACGTGGGAGAGCCCTGGGCTCAGTCCTGGGCCCTCTGCTCTTCTCTATCCACACCCACTTCCTAGGTGATCTCATCCAGTCCTGCGGTTTTGAGTGCTGTTTGTATGCCGGGATTCCTAAATGGATCACTCCTAGCCCTGTCTCTCCCCTGAACTCTGCACTCGCGCCCCTGACATCTCCCCTTGGAGGCCATAGGCCTCTCGCTGGCAGCATGCCCTAAGCCAGCTTTCATCTACCTCCCATCTCAGCAGATGCCCGGGCCTGGGCACCCAAGGGCTCAGCCCAAGCCATTTGGTGAGTCCTGCGGCCTCCCCCCTCCACCCCTCCTACTCTGGTCCCATCCACCCTCTCCGCTTGCCCAGACCCCGGTGGCAGCCTTCTCACTGGTGTCCCTGCCTCCCCCGTTGCCCCCACCCACAGTCTATTTTCCTCACAGGAGCCAGAGGTAGTATTAATTATTACTTTAAAAGCTTTTATGGAAAATTTCAAACACACACAAAAGAGGATATTAGTACAACTACCATGTATTTGTTCATCACTCGATTTCCTAGTTAACAAAATATGTCCAACCAGAAAGACGTTTTTACAGTATAAATTTGATGAGGTACTCCCCTGCTTAAACCTAAAATCCAAATTTCTTCCCAACCTCATCCCTAACCTCTCTGCTCCTCTCTCTGCCAGCCTGGCCCCTGCTGTGCCCAGAACATGCCACAGTGACCTCAGGGCCTTTGCACTGCTGTTTTGGGGCCTGGATCACTCTCCCCTCAGGTCTTTGCTTCACTGGCTTGCTCTTGACCTTCAGGTATGCACCACCCAGAATGAGCAAATGTTAGCATTTTGTTGTTGTTGCTTCAGAATATTTGAAAGTAGAAAAAGCAGAAAGCATTACAGATGAAGCTGACATTCCTTCTGACTTCTTCCCTCCTCCATCTGCGGCCCCAGGGAACCAGCTCCCACCATGAATGGGTGCAGACCTTCTAGGTCTCGTTTTTATATTTTGACTCCATGTGTGTCCAGTACAACAGATAATGTTGCTTAATGATTTGAAGAAATTTATATAAACCTTATCATTTTATAGCTATTACTCTGTAACTTTCCTTTTTCATTTAACACTATGTTTTCGAAATCTTTCTACGTCAACATGTACAGATCTCATTCATTTTAGTCATCCCTCGGACAGATACACCCAGTTCATTTTTCTGTTTCCCTATGGATGGAAAAAATGCTGCCACAAATAGCCCCGCACATATTTTTTTGTTCACAAGTGGATGCTTCTCGAAGGAGTGCTTTCCAGGCTGGGGTTTGCAACTCACTAGGGGGTAGTGAAAACAATTCAGTCAGTTGTGAAATAGGATGAATAGACAATAAAAAGAGTACATTGCACGTAGGAAGGGTAATTATCATTTTGATTTCCTGTTTCTGTTTCACGTGTGTGTCACAGGAGGCTTTGTACAACCCATTTCTTACCGTGGGTGGCTCTCAGGATCCAAAGACCAACATGGGACTGCCGGCTCAGGGTGTGGGACCGTCTCAAGCTCTGGTTGCCTCGACGGGTGGTGCCTTGGCAGACCTTTTTGTTTTTGCACACGAGTATGAGATAGTATCTCACTGTGGTTTTAATTTGCATTTCCCTCGATTACTAATGAAGTTGAACATCTTTTCATAAGTTTGTTGCTCTTTGGGTTTCCCGCCTGTCCTGTGAATTGCCGTTGCCTATGTGTTCTGTTGAGTCTCTTGATCTTACCTTATTTATCTTTTATTTGTAGGCGTTCCTGAGATACTCTCTGTGTTCTGGATACTGATCCTCGGACAGTTTCATGGGTTGCAGACATCTCTCCCAGGCTGGGACTGCCTTTTGGCTTTCCCCATGGGCTCTCTCCAGCAGATCTGTCTATAAGGAGTTTGTCAGCGATTGGGGCCAGGGCAGCGCGGTGGGGAAGAGGAGGCAGAGGCTGCACGGCCGAGGCTGGTGGGGCTGATGAGGAGGCTCAGGACTTCTTTCAACAACATGGTTGAAATGGTCAGGTGAGGGGGCACTGAGAAACTTTTTCTTCTCTTATTAAATATTGTATACATTTAAAGTGTACAAAACTTGATGTTTTGACACATGTACACACTGTGAAACAGCCACCACAATCCTGCTATGGAACATATGCATCACCTCTCCTTAGTTACCGTTTGTCTGTGTGTTGAGAAGACGTAATAAAATCTACTCTCCTGGCAAATTTGGGGTACACAATACGGTGTTCTTAGCTATCTTCACCATACTGATCTCTAGAACTTATTTATCTTGTCGAACTGAAACTTTGTACCCTTTGACCAACAGCACTGCATTTCCTCCAACCCTAGCCTCTGGTAACCGCCGTTCTACTGTTTCTATGAATTTGTCTTTTTTAGATTCCACATAAAAGTGAAATCATGCAGCATTTTTCCGTCTGTATCTTGCTTATTTCACTTAGCCTAACGTCCTGTAGCTCCATCCATGTTGTCAGGCTTTCTTCTTTTCAAAGTTTGAATAATAGCCCATTGTGTTTGTGTGTGTGTGTGTGTGTGTGTGTGTATCTATCTCTCTCTATCTCACTTGTAGGAATGTAAATAGGTGCAGCCACTTGAAAAACAGTATGGAGGTTCCTCAGAAAATTAAAAATAGAAATACCATATGATCCAGCCATCACACTGCTGAGTATATATCCAGAGGAATTGAAATCAGGATCTTGAAGAGATATATGCACCCCCATGTTCACTGCAGCATTATTCACAAAGCCAAGATGCTGACACAGTGTCAATATCCTTCCGCGGACTGAGGAACATTTTCTTTAGGACTCAAGAGGCCGGGCAGAGAAAAGAGCAAGTACAGAGACAGGGACTGGTGGGATGGGTCTGTGGTGGGTGGGAGAACATTCCAGAGAAAGGTTTGGTGAGCTGGCAGAAAACAAGTGCACTAAACATGTTGGTTCTGAACAAATTGATCAATAAATGAGTTGATGAAAATGATATTTCCCGTTGCTGTTTTCTCATATGTGGATGATTTTTGTGTCTCACAGCTGTGACTTTGCAATCTGTTGCTGACATTTATATGTTTTTGTCCATTTATACGAACTTTTATTTTGGGAGTGAATAATGTTTTTGAACAAACGGATGGTTTGACAAGTTTATATCCTTCTAAAGAACACTTTTAAAGCATTTTCATGTTAAAAAAAATGAATTAGTTTTAAGGCAGCAATGACCCTTATTTATATTTGGCAGTGTTCTTTTGGAATTTAAAAATCTAGTCTGGGACGCCACATGAATTGCCTGAAAGTAGTTTGGTTGAAATGAATATTTCCACATATGGGTTTATGGATTCATACAATTTTGGTGCACCCTGAGGGTGATTTCTTTTTACAAATTTGCATATATTTTTAAAGCAATTTTGTCCAACTTGTAGCTTATTTTGTTGTTAAAAGTTCTTGAGTTCTTTTTCTACCACCAGACGCTGACTTCACTTGCGCACCAGCCCCGACGCATTGGCTGGGGCCCTTCACAGATCCTATTTCGTTGACTGCCTGCAGCCTCACCTGGCAGGTTTGACAAGGTATATCCCAGTTTTACAGATAAGGAAGCTTGAGGCGGGAGCGTAGACTTGTAATTAAGCAGCAGAGGTCAGTTCACACCCAAGTCTGCTCGACTCCAGAATCTTCTCCCTGAACCAGGATGGGTCCCTCAGGCTTTCCTCGGTTTTTAATCGTTATGTTTGCATCGAAGTGGCTTCGATAGTCATCTTTAGAAAGAAAAAAAATACAAGTTCCAATAAGTACGAAGGCATGTTTATCATTTTTGTGTCCTTCTGGGAGAAAAGTGAATGAAGATTTGGAATAAAGTCGTTTTAACATTGGAACATGGAAGAAAGAGGGAGAGTATGAGTCCTGATGATTTCTCGGTAGTTTCGCTTCCAGCAACCCAGGCATGACCGGACCTGCCCCGGGCGAGCTCCTGGGGATGACGCATATTGTTGTCACAGGGAAACTGGCCTTGCGGGCCGTGAAGGGACAAATAAGCCGCCGAAAACTTTCCACGGACTCGCGCAGGTGCGCCGGGCCCGCGCCCCTGGTCTCTGGCGCCCCCGCGCGGCCGCGTGCCGTCCTGCAGCCGCAGGGGAGCGCACCTGAGAGCCCTTGGGCGCCGGGGCTGGGGGAAGGGGGGCTTCCCTCTCTCCTGGCGCCCTCCGTCCTGGGCAGGGGAGGGGAGTCTCCACGCAGCTGGGCAGGGACACGGGAATGGCGTCCTCTGGCGTGCGGCAAGGCAGCGGCCGCCGATAACTGGGTTATCTCACCTGGTTCTTCCTGTTCCCCTTGAGGTGTTGCCCAAGGCCATACAGAACGAGGGTGCTCCGATGGCCTTGAACCGAGGTGTTGAGTAGGAAAGAGAGGGGGGTGGGGACTCCCTGCTGGAGGATCCCACTTGGGGCTGCCTTCTGCAGCAGCCCCTGCTGCCCTCACGTCCAGCCTGGCAGGTAGGGACCTCCGAGGCTGTTACTTGTTTATTCACTGGTTTATGAATTCAACAACTACTTATGGAGCTCCTACTATGAACCCAACACTGTTTAGGCATGGGACACAGTAGTGGACAGGACTGATGGTCCTGGCCTTCAGAGGTGGCTTGGCATGAAGATGAGGAAGGAAGGTGACGGCAGTGACTCTGGGTTTTCTGGCTCGTGGGACTGCATGGCTGGGGCTGCTGTTCCCCCAGCTAGGTTAGGGGAGCTCCTGAGCTGGTTTCACACTCCAGGGGGGGCCTCTGACCTCTGTCACTAGATTTCCAGCCCTGTGGCCCCTCGGTGTCCCTCCCCTCCTGTGGTTTGGGCAGCTACAGAGCCACAGAGAGGCCTTGCTGAAATCTAGCTCGAGGACCAAGATGAAGGCTCTGGCAGGGGTGTGGGACAGCTGAGTGGAGCTGAACCTGACCTTTTAATGGGACTTGAGAGGCACCCTGGGGGCCACTCTGGGGGCAGTGGGGCAGAGTGAGGTCTCCGTGATTCCAGCTCCCGCCTGGGTGGGCAGCAGCACCACCATCTGCCCTTCATGCGGGCCTTCTGAGGGGCATCCCTGACCCCCGCCTTGCTTGACCTCTCTTGCTACTCAATCCTCTCTTTGGAGACAGTTCTCCATGGGTCTCTCGTGTTTCTGCACACGAATCGATTGCTCTGTGTTCTGGTTGATCTTTTCCAGGATGTCTGTGTATTGATGCAGCTTGGAATATATAGTGTCTCCCTCTGGCTTGCTTACTGCCCATTATAAAAGATGTGGGTCCCCTGAGCTCAGAGTGTCTCTTCTGTAACACGCTTACTCCACGTGCAGGTGTCATCTGGCCCTTTTCACATCGCGCCGTGGGATTCGGGACTCAAGGAACCAATGCAAAATGCTTATACTTTAGTTCACTGCTAGTGCTGTCCTTCCTCTCTGACCCAGGAGTCTTGAGCCTTCTCCTGGCATCTGAGGAACTCTGCCAGGCTAACTGGTTAGCGTGCAAGCAGGGTACGGTCTTGGACCTTCCATTGTTCTTGACAGGGGAACCCTGTCAGTTCCACCTTCCGCATGTTCCTGGCATCCGTCTGCTTCTCTCCATTCCCAGCGCCACAGCGCTCGTCCCAGCTCCCGTCATCTCGTGCCTGGAGGGTTGCTGTTGCGGGTTCCTGCCTGGTCCCCCCCAGGACCCTTCTCCTGCAAGTTTACCTCCTCATGCAGCTGGAGGGGCCGTCCTAAACCCCTAGCCATCTCCACTTGCCTTGTAGCCTCAGCTCTTCAATGGCTTCTGTCCTTTAGAAGAATATTCTGTGGCCCAGGTGGCCCTTGCCAACCTCACCACCTCCCTTGTTCTCCTCCTACATTCTGCTTTATGCTCTAGTAATACGGAATTGTTCGAATCGTGCTGTTGCGTCTGCCTGGACCTTCCGGCACACTTTCTTCTCTGGAAAACTCCTACCCATCCTTCAAAACTTAGCTCAAGGAGGCCTTTCTGAAGTCCCTGTGACCTCTCAGTGCCACAGTGTTGGAGAAACAGAGGATGGGTAGGGGAGGGACAGGGCAGAGGACAGAGTGGAGGGACTTTGCACACTCCACCCTCCAGCTGTTGCCCCAAGGGAGGAAATGAATGGGTGAACAGGACTGCCCTGGGCAAAAGTCATCGTTGACATTCCAGGGACTCATTGTGACAGGCTGCCCTGTATGGTTGGGCAGGTTGTATCCTGCACAAGCCTGCCTGGCTGAGCTGCGAGTGAGGACTGAAATCACGCTGTGTGCATGTGAAAGGGCTGGGGCAGCACGCCCTGCTGTAATCTGCGCAGAGGTGCCCTCCGCTCACAGCACCCTGTCTGCCAGAGGGCAAATTTTTTACGATTTCTGAAAGACCCCAGGGCCTCGTCCTGCACCCCCTGGGGCCATCTGCCGGCACCCAGACAGGAAAGCAATGCTCAAGATTCCCCATTCTCCCAGAATTCTAATTCTTTGGCACTAACCCGAGGTTCCGGCCACCAATCCAAGATGCTCCGGGAAGCCTGTGGCCTCCTCTAGCCTCTTGTGGCCCCGAGGGGGCTTTCTCAGCAAATGGCCCCCCTTCCCTCAGCACATGCCCCTCTCCGCGACCCTCCGAGACCCTTATGTCGGCACATCTTCTCTCCCCTGCACGGTGCTAGCCTGGCCTCAGAACCCGCCGAGACGTCACTGAGACCTGAGAATAAAGGTCGCAATCTCATTTCTCTGCCTTGTGACTGGGACCAACCTTAGCAAAATGCGGGAAGAATGAATGGGGGTGCTTACGTCTGGGCTTCTGTCTGCCTGTCAACATTTCGTCACCTGCGGCCCTGGGGGAGAGACTTCTATTTCCCAGGCCTTCCATCCGATCCGTTGGGGTTTGGAATGATGGGGAAGGTGCAGCGCCTGCCTGCCCTCGGCCTGTTTTGGTGCGCATTGCTGCTTCAGTGGCCTCCTGCAGGCCCCGAGGACTTTCTCCGGGGCGGGAGGCAGCTGAAGGGGGATCTCTTGTGGCAACTGGGTCCCCACGGTGACTTGGCCCCCACCCTGCGGTGTCTGTGAGGTCACCCTGCCTCTCCCAGCTGGAGGAGCGGGAGGAGGGCAGACATGGAGGTCGTCCCCCCGGTCAGATCCAGCCTCTGGGGGATTCTGCGGCTGCTGGCGAAGCTCTGTGTGCTGGTGAGTGGGGGTGAGGGCGGAGGGGTAGGGGCCACACGCCTGGCCCTTCACAGCTGCCTCAGACCTGCTGGACCCTGTTGACCGTGGAACTAGGTGACTGCCTGTCCCCTGGAGCGATCTGCTGGCTCCCCGAAGCCCCGCCCCCAAGCCACAGTGCCGGAATTTTCTCTATAGAGGGTCATTCCTGGGGGTTAAGCATGGCTCTTCCCAGCCGTCTTTGTCAAACAAGTACAGCTGACCAGGGCCACATCTCCAAATCACAACTCCTCAGAGGGCTGAGTCATCAGAAAAGGGTCCCCTGGGTCGGGACTGTGGCCTAGGAAGGGAGATCACATGGTGCAGTAGAAAGAGACAGACAATTGGATTTGAATGTTGGCTGTGCCACTGTTTAGGTGTGTGACTTTGGGCAAGTCACTCCACCTCTCTGAGCCTCTGTTTCCTCTCCTGGGATTGTGTGGGATATAGTAGGTTTCTCTCCTTGCTGGTCTCAACACTGTGAGCTGGAGGCCAGCTCCTGTTTCCTGCCTCCCACCTACTTCCTCTCCTAGCTGGACCCCTGGGGTCCCTTCCTTTCCCAGCATAGCCCTACCCCCTCGGCTCTGCTGATCCCGCCCATGGTGGGGCACATAGCCAACCCCCAGATGGCTGCCTCTCACACCGTCCCTTAGGGCTCCAGGTGGTCCTCTGGACAGGGGCACGTGGGGTCCAGATGGGTGGGCGGGCGTTACTCAGGGGCTGGGGCATTAGGGCTGTGAGGAGGGGCCATTCAACTCCAGGACTCAGGTGAAGCTTTCTCGCTTACAGACTCTTTCCCCACCCAGCGCCTCTCTTCCTCCTGGTGGGTGGGAGACGTCATACCCACACTGTCACCCAGGATGGAAATCTGGCTATCTTCACCCCTCTCAGCGGGCCAGTTATTAACGCCGTCACCAGCCCCCATGCCTCACATCTCTCTGCCCCTAATGGCACTGCCCTTCGCCCCCAGGTGCCCTCATGACACCGAGAGGCAACCGATGTGCAGGGAGGCCCAAGCGTTCACGAGAAGAAACTGATCTGGGTTTAAATCTCGCAGGATTAGAGCATTGAGGGGATGGTCATTCCTTATATAATAATAACAACAATGATAACAATAATAATAAATCTACCTCCTTCAGTCTGGAGCATTATAAGCAATCATTTAAATCAAAGGAAAGAAAACCAAATATAACATGAAACACTTTCTAAAGTTCCCTTCTGATAATGGAGTACTTAGAAGTGGGCAGATAGGGTCGGCCCGGTGGTTAAGTTCGTGCACTCTGCTTCGGCAGTGTGGGGTTTGTGGGTTTGGATCCCAGGTGCAGACCTAGCACCGCTCATCAAGCCATGCTGTGGCTGCACCCCACATACAAAATAGAGGGAGACTGGCACAGATGTTAGCTCAGGGACAATCTTCCTCAGTAAAAAGAGGAAGATTGGCAACAGATATTAGCTCAGGGGCAATCTTCCTCACCAAAAAAAGAAAAAAAAAGAGAAGTGGACAGATAAAGATCATTCTTGTGCGTGGAGAAACAGAGGCCTTGAGAGGGGGAGGCCCTGGCCCAAGGTGGGCTGGCAGTCTCCCACCTCTAATAAAACTTGGAGCAGATGGGGTTCCAGCCCCCAGTGAGTGACCATGGGTGGTGACTGCTTCTCCTTCTCCTGCAGCTGGTGCAGAACCGGGCCCACCTCTATAATTTCTTGCTCCTCAAGATCGTCCTCTTCAACCACTGGCTGTCGGGGCTGGCCCAGGAGGCCCAGGGGTCCTGTGGCCAGCAGGCCTACCCACCCACCCCGGTGCTCACAGCCTGCCCCATGGCCCGGGTTCTCCGGGCTGGGCTGGCACTGATGGAGGTTCCTGTGCAGCTGGTGCTGCGGGCACCCAGGCTGGTGTGGGCAGGCATGCTTGGCTGTGCCCGGGCCTTTAGCCTGGCCCTGAAGCGGCTAGGCGCCTGGGAGTGGCTGGGCCTGTCTGTGGCCACCTGGATGGACCTGCTTCTGTCATGTCTACACAGCCTGATGCTGGTGGTTTTGTTGCTGCTGCTGCTGACCTGGAAGTTGTGCTGGAAGGCCCACCGCTGTAGCCTGGGCTGGCTGTCCAGCAAGGTGGGTGGGTGGGGTGTGGGCTGGGCTGCTGAGGGCCAGCTTGGGGCACTGGGCATGGCCAGGGCTGGGCTGGGTCCGGCAGCCAGGCAGTGCAGCTGTGTGAGCTCCTGGTGACCACCTGCCAGTCTGCTTGCCCCTTCCAGGCGCTGCTGGAGAACTGCGTGGTGCTGGAGCTCCTGGCCCTGCTGAAGCGTCTGTACTGGTGGGTGGAGAGCACGACAGTGCTCACCTCCTGGCACCTGGCCTATCTTGTCACATGGACCACCTGCCTCGCCTCCCACCTGCTGCAGGCTGCCTTTGAGCATACAGCCCAGCTGGCCCAGGCCCAGGAGGCTGAGCCCCAGGAAGCCCTAGGGCCCTTGTCTGAGTCCCTTTTCCCTGAGCCCCTGGCCCCCCAGGCTGGGCCAGTCCTGCCAGAGCATGGAACCCCTGGAGAATAAATGTGTCCCCATCTGCCTCTCCTGGTCTGGTCTGGCCTAGGGTCTCACTCTCCATCCCTCTTCCCTAGTGGGCTGGAGGAGTGTGTATGCGTGTGTGCCCACATGTGTGTGCATGTTCATGTGTGTGTGCATGTGTGCCCTTGGGCTGCCCCGGGAAAGAAATCACATTCCGTGAGCACCTGACCTGTGCCAGATGACCATCTCAGACACTTTACACACATAATTTAGTTAAATCTCATAGCAGCACAGGCATCCGGTTGGATTAGCTCCATTTTCCAGATGAGAAAATTGAGCTGCAGAAGACCGAACATTCCCAAGATGCCAGAGTAAGTTAGGGGAAGAGCCAGCACTGGGCCCCAGGTTTTTTGTTTGCCGGAACCCCTAACTTTCTCCAGGTCCGTGCCTGTGGTTCTCAGGACTGTTGGTGCCCAGGGCTTAAGGGGAGATGGGTAGTTAGAGACTCTATCCTCTGGGGGGTGCCAGGGCCTCACATTTCATTTCAAAGATTTAGAAAATTCCTTCGAGAGGTAGTTACTCCTGAGCTGGTCTGCAACTAGCCCATCCATTGATTTACCTGCTTAGCCACTCTCTGTCCCATCCATCCACCCAGCCAGCCAGCCAGCCAGCCAGCCACCCACCCATCCACCCACCCACGCACCCATCCATCCATCCATCCACCCACTCATCCATCTATCCATCCAGCCACTCACCCACCCACTCATCCATCCATCAGCTTATTGACCCACCCAACTACCCATCCATCCACCCACTCACCCACAGATCCCTCCACAGCTCCACCCATCCACCCATCTCCTCCAGGAGAGGGAAGCATCCAGTGTCTCAGACTCGCCCCTAGCTGCCCAGGTCCTGCTGAGGGGGTGGCTGATGTAGCTATGCAAGCTCAGGCTGCAGTGGGTCAGAGCCCCAGACACCACTCTGAGGTGAGTGATTCTGTGAGAGGAGAGGAAGGGATGGTTTCTTGGGAGTTAGCAATCACCCCTCACTCACTCCCAAGCCCAAGGGTGCTGGGAGTGTGGGAGGACGTTCCAGAGAGTTCTGCCCTGCTTTCGCCTTCTCCATTCTGGTTCCCAGGGAAGTTGGGGCCGGATTCCTGCCCTGCCTCCCATATGCACTTGCAGATGGCCCAAGGTGGTTGTGGGGTGAACTTTCAGGCCCTTCCTCCGAGTCTGAGGAGCAGGCCCGGCCTGCCCCGCAGGGAGACATCTGAAGGGCTCCCATCTGGCCAACGAGGCAGGCTACCTGCTGGGGGGAACTTACAAGATCCTGGCGAAGGGGTAGATGCGGCTGGGATTCCAGAATCCCCACACAGCCCACAGGGAAAGCTGAGTGCAGAAGTGTGTGAAGTTGGCTACTGCTGAGGGTGGGGACGGGGGGAGTGGGATGGAGGTCCCTGTGGAGGTGGCTGGGCCATGAGCTGCCGGGGCCCAAGCCGGGGCTTGACAGGGCTGGAGGCTGTGGGGCCTGGGTGCTGGGAGGGAGGGGCAGGCAGAGAGGGGCCTCAAAGGCCAAGAGAGGAGGGGAAGGATGGTGACAAGTGCCTAGATGGAGCTGGGGGATGGGCCGGAGGCTGGACAGCCCTGGGCAGTGGGTTTAGAGTAAGATTGAATACTGGTATTTTTTCCTTCTACTAAATTTTTAAAAATTACCAAAAAAACAGAGATGATAAGGTAAAAATGTTTCCTTCTTCTCTGGTTCTAAATTGGAAAGAAAGAGGGTCAACGGTGCTGTCTTTCCAGCCATGATTCTTTGCAGATATGCACACCTGCATGCCTGCTCACGTAAGCACCTAGAGACGGTGCTGACGGAGAGCCGATCCTACTATACATACCGTTAGGCAAATTGCTTTTTCTCACTTGATCACATGCCACCCACCCGTTTCCAAGTCGATCCACGCGGATGTCTCATCCTTTCTCATGGCTGCTTTGAGGCCTTTCGGGTTGGCTACTGGTCCTGCTGTTTCCCACAGTGTAGCTCTCAAGCATGGGAGGGGCTGGGCCTCTGAGGGACTGCCTGGGGAAGGGATGGAGGGCGTAGGTTGGGAGGTGGCCCCTGCCCTGGGGAACTCCTCTCTGACCTGCTACATGCTGTGCTCCCACCCCTCCTGCCACAGCCCTAGGAGCCTGGGGCTGAGACCTCACACAGCTGGAGTGAGCCTGGGGAGAGGGGCCCAGGGCTGGGGGCAAAGAGATCATGGGTCCAGTCTACCAGAGGGGAGAGGGCCTAGCTGGGCCCTGGACCTGCGGGTGAGGTGGGGCCGGGAGACCAGCTGGGCCTTAGGACCCTGCTGCCCTGAGCGTGCCCACCTGCTCAACTCACCCCCTCCAACAGTTGGCCCCCAAACTGTTGGCTGCTGATGGAGATGAGACCACGACTTTGTAAGGGCCTCACCCCTCCGTCCACACTAGGGCTGTGAGGGGACACTCTCGTGTGGCCGTGCCTCGGCCCAGTGCCCACCTACAAGACCCGGCAGTGAGAGAAGACTTCAAAGGCTGGAAGGCAGAGGAAGGCTGGGAGCAGACCAAGGGCTCTTTGGGCTGGGGTGGTTGGGAAGGCTTCCTGAAGGAGGGGGCATTTGAACTGGGTCTCCAAGAGAGGAATGTACTGCAGCCAGAGGGCAAGACCCTGGGTGCTGGCCCCAGATCTGCCCCTTGCTGTCTGAACTTTGTCAGGCTCCTACCCTCTCTGGACCTGGGTTTTTCTAGCTGCTGTTGTAGATCCGTGCTCAGGCCAGGGCCCCAGGCTGGGTTCTAGGGCACAGACTGACACCTGAGTCCCCCCACCGTGGGAAACATCCAGGCTGGGGAGCTGGGGTGGCACTGGACAGGGGGAGGCCAGTGAAAAGAGACAGCCCTCCCACCCTGAGCCTGAGGTCTGAGGAGAAGGCCCAGGCTGGGGGCAGATGCTTCGGTTCCATAGCTTGGCCCTGCCTCTCCGTGTGACCTTGGGTGAGGCCTCTTGGTGCGATAGGGTCCCTCCACGAGCTGAGAGTGGTTCCCTGAAACCAAGTCCTCCCTGAACGTAAGTCCTCCCAGGGCTGGGGCCTGGGAGGGAGCAAGGAAGGGAGGAGGGTGAAACCTGTGCTTGGCTGCCCTTCGCACACAGTGGGCACATCAGGGACTTGGGGATCAGAAAGCCTCTGGTTTGAATCTTGGACCCATGACCTCCTGGCCATGTGACCTTGGGCAAGTTCCTTAACCATGTGAGCCTCAGTTTCCTTATCTGTGAACAGGCACAATGATAGCACCCCCTGCCTCACAGGGATGTCACTGGCTCTGTGCACGGTCTGGTGAGGGAGGCGGTGGGGATCCCAGCTCCCTCGCCCAGCCTGCCCGCTTCCCGGGGGCTACAAGGACCCTGTCCTGAGGCCAGGGGTGAGGGCGGTCAGTCCGTCCATCTCAGGCCTGTGAGTGTGCAGGGGCCCAGCCCACTGGAGGAAAGCAAGTGGGGGGCGGTGGGGGGGCCGTGGGCAGGGTGGGGGGAACTGGCTGAAGGGCTGGCCAGCAGCTCCACGCAATCTGTCTGCTATGCAGTCCGGGCCTGGCCTGTATTTATTTATGCTGAGCGTGTATTTATATCAGCCCCTTTCTCATTAATAGGGCAGGAAATGGCTGGAATTGTTACATACCTGGCGGCCCAGGGGTCCCACTCGGCCAAGACACACAGGGCGCTGGCCGCCCTGCCACGGATGCGAGGGGCCCCCTCCTCAGTCCCAGGCCCAAGTCCCTGGCCTCTCACTGACCCCCCCTTCCTTGAGCCCCCTCGGCTTCCTTGAGCTCCCGCTCACCCCCTGAGCCCACAGCCCTGAGCCTGGGAGAGGGACTCATTTCCAGGCCTCGCCCTGTCCCCCAGCTCCCCACCCATCCTGACCCCAGGAGAGACAGTGGTGTTGGGGTTGTCAAGGCGAGACTGGAGTACGGGGCTTGCTGGGCAGACCCCAGGCAGAGCAGCGAGAGTACAGGGCTGAGAAATCAGGGTCCCCTGGCTTGGGGAGGGGATGCCGGAGCCCTGGGGAGGGAATCTGGGCAGAGGAGGAAGTAGGGGTCGTGAGAAGGCTTTCCTGTGGCTGGCAGTGGCCCCCAGGTCTCTGCTCCCCACAAAGCTGAGCTCCATGTAGGGTTGGCGAACCCCTCCAGCTTTCTTCCCATAGGACCCCGCAGCCCATGGAGGCTGTCTCTGAGGATGGGGAGTCGGGGTTCATCCTGCCTTCCTGGCCACTGTGGCTAAATGAGGCTTCCCCGCTCAGGGCCCAACAGCCCTCGCGCCGTCCTCAGAACCACGCCAGCATCGCTGTCCTGGCCCCAGCTCTTGGGCACGGGCCCCAGGTAGGGCTGCCAGAGCCGAGAGGCGCGGCCCCCTCCCCAGAGCTCTGGCCTGACATAACCTATTAGTGCTCCTCACTTCGGCCCACCGCCCCAGCCAGCTCCCCGCCCAGGCCAGAATGTGCCAGGCCTGCTGTCCCTCTCCTGCGCCGCCTGGTCAGGGCAGGTTTCAAAGGAGCTGGTGGGATGCCTGCACCCAGGGTGTAGCCGTGTCTGTTCAGCCCGCCTCTCTACTGGGGTCTGGGGATGCTCTCCACTCAGAGGCCTCTTCTAGGACAGGCCTCCTGGCAGCTGCCCCGTGGTCAGGTGGGCCTGCCCTCCGACCGCTGCCCTCCTGGCTTAGACTCCAGAGCTGGGGCCACGGTGCAGATGTGGGGACTGAAGCTTAGAGGATGAGCGGTTCTCCTGAGGGCCTGCCCTTTGCCCTCATCCCTGTCTCTCAGCAGTATTTCTAGGGTCTGGTGGAAGGGGGTCAGGCCTCAGCTCTTAACACTGAGGAGGGGGCTGCCGGGAGACATCAGTTCTCTAGGCTGGAGGCCCCCTGGGTGGTGGGAGGCTCTGCTGCAGTCCCTGGACTCTGCCTTCGCAGGGCTTCTCTCAGCTGTCCCACCATACGAGGCAGATGTGCTGAATGCAGAGAAGGGCCAGCCTCCATGGAGGGCACCTCCTCTGGGCTC